ATAAAGATAATGATTAAAAGTTTTTAATTTGCAGACTTCTGGCAGAATTTTTAGCACAGTATAATAAGTTACTGCATGAGCCTACTTACTCCAACCGATTTAATAGAAACATTGTCATAATTTGTTAGATTAAATGAACAGTGATAGACTGAATTTTATTTTAAAATGTAGTCTGTCAAAAGATATTTATTGCACACCCCTGTGTGTACGGAATTGTGCTAGAGACTGTAGGCATCAGGGGTTTAGCATTAACTGACCAACTTAGCACCCTGAAGACCCCTGTCCCCTATGGCAGTGGCACATTCTGAGCCTTGAACGTGCCTCAGTTGTGATTATCTTGGGGAGGAATGGGGGGGCCCCCTCTCAGGGGCACCTGCTCTGTGAGTTGTTCCACAGCCATGCTGAGCTTGGCTCGAGTCAGTCTCTCTGTCTGTGTTTCTGTCTCTCTGCCCGTCTAACCCGTGGGGTGGACTGTGGTTGGAGTTGGGCTGGAGGTTTCCCTGTGTGAAGCTAATTGGCCCATTTGAGGCTTCAACCCAGAGTCTTGGACTTCTTAGCACCTTTCTTTAGACACCTGGGCTTGGCACTTCGGATGCGAATGCTCACTGTCAGTCATTAGGAATGATGCCCCGTTTCTCCAGGGGGCCATGGGTTTGGGCTGGCTGGCTGCGGCATCAGCACCAACTCACTCTTACAGCCTGAACCCTGGTCCTCGATGCAAACAGAGTCCAGGCATTATGGGGCCAGTATGTCCCCTCTCCCATTCCAGAGACAGCTCAGTGGGCAACACATCCCACAAGCTAGTCCACCCCACGATAATATGCAGTTGTTGGGAGTTCAACAATGCCTAGAGATTACGAAGCCATCGATGCAAATGTGTGAGCCACAAACCTATTTTTTGGTGGTAAACAAAAGGCTACCATGGTGACTTTTTGAGGAAAAACTTATCTTTCTCTGAAAAATCTCTGATTCTATGGGTTAATCAACTCTAATTTTAGAAAAACCTAAAAAATGGTTCAGCTTATGGCCTTTGTTAACTCAGAACAATTTTCTTTATGCTCTTAAATAAGCTCAAATGTCACAAGAAATATATGTATAAAGAAAAACATTTACTTTTTAGGGAATTCACAGTTGCTGACTTAGAGTATTTAAATATAAATCTGATATTCATAATAGCCTGAATCTTTGATGGGCCTTAAATTTGAAAGATGAACGTCAGAGGGCCCGTTAGCCAGTTAGCAGGTCCAGAACAGTGACTATGCAGCACACTGACTCCTGTCCTCCCCCCGTGTTCTAACAGCCGTCCCTAAGCCACTGCGGCCCTCTTTTATGAGCCCAGTGTGTCGTCAGAACCTTTCTCAACACAAGTTCAAGTCAAGTGACTGGAACTGGCCCTTGAGATGACATTCCTACACCAGCTCTGCTCTAGGTGGCTTCATTCAAGGAAACTTCAGCATGCTACCTTCTGTGGCCGAGTGGTTAAGTTCACACACTCTACTTCAAGGGCCCAGGGTTTCACCAGTTCGGATCCTGGGGTTGGAACTACTCGTCAGGCCATGCTGAGGCATCCCACGGAGCACAACCAGAAGGACCCACAACTAGGATATACAACTATGTCCTTGGTGCGGGGGGGGGGCGTTGGGGGGCGGTCTTGGGAGAAGAAGGAAAAAAAAAAAGAAATGGAGGTCCATAGAGGCTGAGTCATTGGCCAGATGACGTTCATGCAGCAAGCCCAGCATACCATTTATATGCTCTGGGTTTCTTATGCAGCTGTGTATGTCAGAGATATAATTTAGTTAATGGGGTAAGTTTTAAAAGGCCCACTGAAATTTCTAGATTCCTTTCAAATGAGGTGTAAGTAGCAAGGTTGTTAATAGAGCTTCTGCCACTTAGGAGCTGTGGGACCTTGGGCAGGTTTTCTCCTCCATCACATGGGGATTTGAGAGTACCTACCTGACAGGGCTGTTGAGAGGAGGATGGGGGGCGATCTATATAAAGTCCTCACAACAATGTCTGTACGTAACAGCTATTAAACATGTTAGTGGCTATTATTATTTCTGGTTATCGTTATTCTGAGAAGAATGCATTTTCAGAATGGGACGAAGTAATTATTATCATTACATTTTAGCATTTGAAAGTGTTATGACATGCTGGATATTTGGATCTATATATTATCACAATTTTAAGTATTATCATTTTCAGTATGTCATTTTATGTTGGCATTGTGTCAGAGGCTGGTGTCATATGTCAAAAGGGATTTAACTCATTGGCTGTATGTCATAAATGTGACACAGCACTGAGAATCAGACCAGCAGTACCTGTTTTTAGCGCATGTTGGGCATACCAGCGGGGCGTTCCTGGGAGCTGGGTGACAAGCTGAGCTGTGGGAGCAGCTGAACGATTTTCTGGGGAGCCCTGAAAGACCAGAATAAGAGATGATAATTATTCCCTAAAAACCAGTTTTCAGATGACCCCACCGTGAAATGGCACTGCAATCGCGCCGCCATGCAGAGGCCAACACTGGGCAAATGGCCCGTTACAGAATGAGGTCCCGGGCGCCTTTGTTGAACGCTGGAAGCCGGCTTGTCTTCCTAAACAAAGCCACTGTACTGCTGCTCTTCTTTCAAGAATAAATTGAAGGCAAATGAAATGAATTAAGAATATTAGAAATGCTTTGTCTATCTTTAGGTTAGGTGGGCTATTGGAGAATACTTATATTTGGTTATTATTTTGTGATTATTGCTTTCGTATTTAGAGAAAATAATTGAAATAAATGGTTTAACTTACTTAGCTAAATTATTTTCACAAAGACACAATGCAAAATTTATATTTTCTTATTATAAATTATTCGTAGTAGAAGGCCACAAGTAAAAATATGGAACTGTTCAAAACGAGTATTTTTGTCATTAATGAGATGCTTAAGGGAAGCTAGGAAATTAACCTAAAAGTTTTGTATTTCTATCCCACTTCTTTGCAGTCACTGGAAAAATGTCAGCTTCTAGAAGGTAGCACACCACTGCCTCTGGAGAATGCTGGGCACAGCGCCCCACTCAGTTCAGCTGGATAAATGCAGCTTGATGGCGGAGAGGGTGAGCGCTGGGTTTAAGGCCTAGTGCGTCAGAGGACATGGGCGTGCAGCCGGGAAGCCAGGAAATGCTAAGGTAATGTGATTATATTACCTAGTTCCGGGACTGCATATATTCCTATTGGAATATTCCTGATTCTTTGTTGTTCCTTCTTTCACCCGATGAGTTAAAAATTAATCACATTGCATTTAAAAATGTATCATCTGACCCTCAGATTAGACATAAATTGAGTATATTTGACCAAACTAAGGGCAACTTTATCACGTAGTAGTTATACCTATAATAGCACAACAAATTAGCAGGATATACAGAAAAAGAAACAGACAACGTCACCACCAAAAAGTTGAGTTCATTGTTCGTGTGAAGTATTGTTGGAATTTGCTGGGTTTTGCTGGCTGCGGGTGTAAGCCCGGGAAAGCGCTGTAATGTAGCTCTGTCCAGGCATCTCACGGGGATGTGACTGCTTGGGGGTGGTGAGCAGGTCTTTCTGAGCAGATTCCCACGGCCCATGGCACCCTGAGTGTCATGCCCAGACCCAGCGTTTCTCCCTATAATAGTGGACACGCCCACGGGCACGCTTGCTCACACCATGCAGTGCTTCATTCCCTGACGACCTGCTGTGCCCTTAGCTGAGAAGCCTCTGCAACGGCCCAGCAGAGAGGGAGTCATGGGCTTAATGAAAAGAACCACGCAGCATTCGTTGAGTGTCTGCTATGCGTTAGACCCTTTACATGCGTAACTTTAATTTTTGCGGCCACACTGTGGGGTAGATATCATTCTTATTTTACAGACGAGGACGTTGAATGGGGCAGGGATAATTCTTTGTGTTGAGCAGGAACAAAATGGGACTGTAATTTTGTAAAGACTGTACTCCCCAACTCCCTGGCAGTTAGCTTGGGACCACATGACTAGTTCTAGTCAGTGGTAAATGGAATTGGTGTGTGTTACTTCCAGAGGGAACAAAGAAGAGGGGGTGTGAGGGCTCAACGCTCTCTCCTCCGCTGTCACAGCAACCCGGGAGCCACGTCTGGAGCCAGCAATGTCACTAAATAAGGCAGCCTGGATTGCTGAGTCATCACGTGGACGAGGGCCCCCTGCTGAATCATCCAGTTCACAGAGCACTTGAGGCAAGTAAAATTAACCTGTGTTGTATTTAACCACTGATGTTCCGAGGTTTATTTGTTACTGAAGCATACCCTAGCCTGTCTTGACTAATACATTGAGTCCCAGAGAAAATAAGTTACCTGGTTATGATGTCGTGGATGCTGGTCTAGAACTCCCACACACATCTATGGCTGCAGAGTTCCCTTTATCATTGCTAATGTTCTCTCTCTGGTTAGGACAGGCAGGAGGGCTGAAGTCCACTCTGCAACATTTTAGTGTCCCTAGAGTATGCTGGCATGGGACATTACAGTGTAATTTTCTTTCTTTTTTTTTTTGTTTTTTGTTTTTGTTTTCTGGTGAGGAGGACTGGCCCTGAGCCAATCTTCCTCTTTTTTTTTTTTCTCCCAAAAGCTCCAGTACACAGTTGTATATCCTAGTTGTAGATCATTCTACTTCTGTGTGGGATGCCACCACAGCATGGCTTGATGAGCAGTGTGTAGGTCTGCGCCCAGGATGCAAAGTGGTGAACCCCGAGCTGCCAAAGCAGAGCACACAAACTTAACCACTTGGCCACAGGCCCGGTCCCTGTAATTTTCTTTGTCTTCTTCCTCCTCACCAGCCTGCCAGTATTGGTGAGAGGAAGCAAGTTGGTGGCTGGATTAATGGATGTCCAAATGATATTTATTCCCTCCCTTTTTTTTTTTTTTTTACCAATTGCCTAACTTACCAAATTAGGTGTAACTTAGGAAACAAAATAATTGCCCTTCTTGAGGGATGGTGACCAGATGACTCACTCTTCTTTTTCCAAAGACTAGATGGTTTGATTTGAGCCACTCATCTACACTCACGGGCTGGATCCATCTCGTGACCAGAGAATGCACCAGAGGCCTGAGTGGGGTAAAGGGAAGGAGTCAGAGCCCTGGATCAGAGAAATGGCATGTGAGATCCATGTGGACCTGAGCTTATAAAGTCGTAATTCCCCAGAGCTTCTTCACGACTCCAAAGAGTATCATGCCGGTTATATGGTGGGGCCAGAAAGACGGCTCTGCTGCCCAGGATGGATTATACCAGGTTTGTACATAGTTATTCAAGAAGATTTGGTGATTTGTACTGGACATTCATTCACGTGTTCATTCATTGCTCATTTTTAATGTTTCTGGGTATTGAAAAACGAAAGATCAATAAAACCAGCGCCCTTGGCCAGCAGTAGCTCACCATCTTGACACTGAATCGGACAAGTGAACCATAATAACAGAGCACGAGAGATAGTACACTTTGTAGAGACAAGCGTGGATTGCCATGGAGTGCCACTGAATCGCCAGAGCAGCCCCCTGATCCAGCTGGTTTGGGTGTGGGAGAGTCAGGAAGGTCTTCCCATTGGAGCAACCCCTGGGCAGGGTCTTGAAGCCCAACTAGCCCAGGCAAAGGGCTGTGCACGACATCATAAAGTCAGGGTTATTCTGACCTCAAGATTCTCTAGGGCAGCTAATCCTTAACCTCAGGGCCTTGAACCCACACAATCTATGGCTGGGTCTCAGGAGTACTATAAAACCCCTGCATGGACCCAGAATTTTGTGTGCAGCTAACTTTTTCTGATCATACTCTTACCAGATTCCCAAAGTTTTCCATGACCTCCAAAAGTGTTATCATCGTTCCTCCAGAGGACACAGCAGTTCTTTGGGAAGTCTAGCTAATTTGTGGTTGAGAAATGTGCTTGCCTGTGGAAATTCGATGGTGAAGATGAGTTCACAGAGATTAATTTCCCTCCCAAGAGTTTTCCCCGATATTCTTACATTGGGGACTTAATTAAACAAGATGGCTTACAATCTCAATGCCAAGGCATTGCTTGCTCACATACCCACAATGCCTGCACGCATACACGTGCACACATGCACACTAACATTTCTAGAAAATTCGAAAGATAAACACATAATTAAAATTAAAAGGCTTTCTCCCACCTCTCACTCTTCCCACATAGCTGAACACTATTAGGTGTTTCTTGTATTGCCATTAAAAAAATGTGTATCACATACCAATATACTAATATTTTTATGATTATGAATGAGCTCGAGCACCATCCCACACATCTATTCACTGTTTGTGTTTTTACTTCTGTGTGTGAATTACCTCTTCATATCCTTTGTCCATTTTTCCATTGGGTGTGTCTTTTTCCAGCTGAATTACATAAACCCTTTGCCAGTTAGGGAAATGGGCCTTTAGATCTTGCAAATATTTCCCCCAAATTACCTTTTGTCTTTTGTCTTTGTTTATAGTGTTTTTGTCTACCTTAAGTTTTTAAATTTATACATATTTAACTTTATCAAAACCTAGGAAATTTATTGAGAGTTAGACTAGATCTCAAGCTCCCTTCATGGGTAAAGAAGACCCTATAAATACGAATGACCACAAAACCTGGAGGAATGCGTGTCCAATGGTGGATTTGCGTGACTTTAGCAGGTGGGTGAAGGCCACTTCTGTTGTCAAGGTCTTTCCGGTGATTCTCTCGTCTCTCCTCTGAGATGCTCTCCTCGGTATTCTAGCAGCTAAACAGTTGATACTGCAATCAAGATATGATTTTCAAGAATGTCTTTATTACTGTCAGAGAAGTCCTATGGTTCACTACAGTGACTGACTTTGTAAAACCCAGTCTCTAGCACCACGCCTGGCACTCAGAAATGTGCTGGATGAGTCTATGAATAAAAGGAACTTGATTCATGAAGGGGTGGACTTCTCTAGGAAGTTTGGTGGGCTCAAAGACACTCTAAGACTTTTCCAGGGGCAGGAGAAGAAAATAAGAAATTGGAATGAAGACGTTAAATTACTTTGAGGTAGCTTTCAAATAATTTATGATACAGTTTTAAGCTCTTTGTAAAACATAGATCATCATACTTTGTGAGCTTCTACAGCTATAAAACTTAAACTATTAAAGAAAACTCCATCATCTAATGACAGAGCTTCTCAAAACCTTGATATGCCAATGAATCACCAGTGAGCTTGTTTGAATGCAAATTCTGATTCAGTTAGTCCTGGGCTAGGGCAGGACTGAGAGTGTGCATTCCCAACAAGCTACTTGTGCCCAGACCTCACGGTGGCCAGGCCCTCAGACACATAGCTCCTGGACGTTTTCCCCACGCCTGCTGTCTTCTGCTTCCTTTCTTCTTCCTTCCTTCCTTCTCTTTCTCCAGGCACGTGATCCGATGGTATTTATGTACTCGCATACACATGCTTTATATGTGTCTTTATATTTCTAAAACATTAATTGAGAAATAGGCCATTGTTACAGAAACCACAATGTACTTCATGCAAAACCATTGGGTACAAAGGCAAAACATTGACAAATTGGTACTTTCTTGCTTGGTCACGCCTGATTTAAGGAAATGAACCCAAAATTGGCTATGTGAATTGGAAATTGACTTCAACCACATTTAAATTGTTCTCTTTAAAATATTAGCAGCTGAGTGTGTAAACCAATATTTATTTTCTAATCAAAGGTTTGCGGCAAATGGTTTATAAATGAAAGAAATGAGGGAAGAAAGCTTTGAAATGGTTCTAGTAATAGAAATGGAAATAGGATGTTTTCTTTCTCTAAATGGCAGACACAGGCCTCAACTAAAATTCATCCTGCTTTAGAAAGAGGAAATTGTATGAAAAACTCACCACTGTATAAAGGTACGAGGCCAGCACCTCTGCCTCTAATCATCGTGAGTATTTTCCGGTGGAAAAAAGTTGAAGATCCAGCTACATTAAGAGAGAATCTATTAACAGAATAATTGTATGGAGAGGACCCATTAAGAAAAGCTTCCAGAATTCCATTATCTTAACTGTCACTCGCCACTCGGAGTTGTCTTGGTGCTGTGTGTTTTCACGAATTACCCGAGCTGTTTGTTTTCCCTTTATCCGTCATCGCGCTGTCAGCGGGGCCATTCATAACAACTTTTGGCAGCTCGTCAGGGGAGTTCAGAGCTTGAAGAGGACCCTATCAGCTCTCACACCTCATTGTGTGAAACTGTTTACCAGCATGGCCTTTTTCTGTAAATATTACGAGCAGGGCCCTGAAAGGGCATATGTGTGAAAACAAAATGGCCTAACTGTGTAGGGCCTGGGCTAGATGGCAGATCTGAGTTGGCTGAGGATTTGCAAGTCCTTGTGTTTCCTTTATTCTACGGAATAATACCTAGTCGCCGGTCTTGAAGTCTTGTGTATGCTGGCTAATTAGACAATATTTAATTTGACTTCACATTTGTGTCAGTTTGGTGAAAGTGAGACTTTGTAATTAGGGAGTGCAGATCGGGTTTCTGTCACAATTCTACTCCTTGCTGTAATTTAATGCACACTTTTCCAGTGCATTGTCACACTTGATGTGCTGAGTGTCCGCCACCCCCCATCTTTTATGCTTCACTAGTAACAAGGTGGCCCCTATTATACAACCAACAGCAAATGGACTCGGTCTCCTGGACTTAACGGCCTGACGTTTCTGCCAGATTCACCCATCAGAAATAATTTCCCATTTGAAATGAATGCCAGCAACTCTCCATTGAAGCAATATCACCAACCTGCAAATGGCTATGATTTTTTTTGGTCTTTATTTTCACTGAAGTTATATATGCACAGATTTTTAAAGTGTAAAATAGTTCTAAGTTTTGTGGAGAAAAATAGAAGTCCCAGTTCCCCCTCCCCAGAGGCAGCCACTTTCAACCCTTGTGGCAAATTTTTTAGAAATTGATTTCACAGTGAGAAAAAGGTTGTTTCAGTTTGCCAGTTTTGGGATGTTATAGAAATGGAACCGTTGTGACTTGCTTCACCCACTTACCATCAGGGTAGGTTTTCTTTTAATCACTCTTTTTTAAAACCAAGGTATAATTTACATACAATGAAATGCACAGATTTTCAATGTAGTTTTAACAAATGAATACACCCACGTAAATGTTCACCAAACTGTGGGGCATTTCCATCGCCCCAGAAAGTTCCCTCATACACCTTTGCAGTCAGCCCCCTCTAGGAAGCAGTCAGTTTCCTTATTTCTTTCATCATAGATGAGATGTACCTGCTCTGGAACTGCTTTATGGCATCATACAGCGGTGATCTTTTATGTCTGGCTTCTTTTGCTCAGAATGACGTCTTTGAGATTCATGCAGAAATTTATTCCTTTTAGCTACCCAACAGTGTTCCATGTATGAGTATACCACTGTTTGTAAATTCGCTTATTGATATTCGTTCCGTTTTTTCCAGTTTTGGGCTATTGGGTTGTCTTTTTATTATTGCTTTGTAGAAGTTCTTGTATATTCTAGATCACAAATCCTTTGTCAGCAATAGGCTTTGCAAATCTTTCTCCCGGTCTGTGTCTTATCTTTCCATTTTCTTAATGGTGTTTGATGAGCAGAACTTTTAAATTTTGATTATGTCCAATTTATGATTGTTTTTACAACTAGTGCTTTTTGTGTCTCAGCAAAGAAATCTTTGCAGATTGTGCACGTATTCTCCTGTGTTTTCGTTTGGAAAACACTGAAGCTCTATAGTTTCAGATTTTACATTGAGGCCTCCTATCTCAATCGAATTTTTGTGTATGGTGTGAGGTAGAAGTCATGTTTTTTTCTTTCTTTTTAAAATTTTTAATATGGATATACAATTGTTCTAGAATCATTTGTTGCAAAAACTTCCCTTTCCCATCGGGTGTGTGTGCCTTTGTTGAAAATCAGTTGACCGTACATGTATGGATGTATTTGAGGGCTTCGTGCTGCTCTGTTGACTTGTTTATGTCTGCTTATGAAAATAAGACAGTGTCTTCATTGTTATGGTCTTACAGTAAGTCTGGAAAGCAGTAGTATAAGTCTTCCAAGTTTGGTCTTCTTTTTAAGGTTATTTTTATTATTTTTCATCTTTTGCATTTTCATACACATTTACAATCAGCTTGTTAATTTCTACTAAAAGCCTCATGGAATTTTGATTGAGATTGCCCTGAATCTATTTATCAATTTGGGGAGGAATGACACTTTAGCAATGTTAATTTTCCCTTTCCCTATATGGTTGAAGTTTTTATTTAGTATCTTTCTATGCAATATGTAGTAGTTTTC